CTTGTGAATATACTAAAAACTACTGAATTGCATGCATTAAAAGGGTCAGTATAAAAAAAAAAAGGGTCAGTATCACTGCAGGTGATTTACATCTAAACAAAAAAGAATCTTTCCTAACAAAAGGAAATGCTAGAACATATCACCACCAAATAAACTGAATTCACATCAGATCAACCTCTCGAACCAATACCAGTCTGGAGACAAGACAGGGAACAAACATATTAAAGGACTTTACAGGGGTAAAATTATCAAAATCTAGACTGAGAATCTCTATAAGGCAAACAATCCTGTTTCATCAAAAAACTGATTTCAAGGGAAGAAGAAAAAGAAGAGATAGTGGAGGATTTAAAGAGATTAAGGGACATATCAATCAATTGCAATATGTGGATATTATTTGGATCTTGAGTTAAACAAACTTAAAAAATAAACTCATGAAACAACATTTTGAACACTGGGTGTTTAATATGAAGAAATTATTAATTTTTTTAAGTGTGATCATGATACTTTAGATTTATAATTTCATTATGTTTTAGAAATGCATATTAAAATATTTGTAGATGAGGCAATATGGTGTCTGGAACTCTTTTTTGAAATTGAATTGTGTTAACACATCTCGTTCCTGTGACACACTAATTTGTTAATTCCCCTCCTCTTTCTCAACCCTCTCTTGTTCTATCTGAAATTAGTTTATTTTTGGTTTTACTTGTTTACCATCTGTTTCCCACAAGAGCAGTAATCCTGTCTCTCAGGTTATTGTCATAGCCCACGGGTTTAGCAGTGAACTGGCAATTTATTAAGAGCTAAATATTTATTGAATGAATGAATGTCAATATTGGTCTCATCACATCAACTGCTCTAGTCCTGAGTTTCAGCTCCAGGTCCCCGCCTGTCAACCAGACATCTACATCCAACCCGGACATCTCCTCCAGAATTCTTTTTTTTTTTTTTTTGGCCATGCCACATGGCTTTCGGGATCTTAGTTCCCTGACTAGGGATCAAACCTGGATCCCCTGCAGCAGAAGCATGGGGTCCCAATTTTGGACAGCCATCTGCCTCCAGGTTTGTTTCATCTTCATCATCTTCATCTAGTTTTTCTATAGAACTTTGTGTGGCTGGCACATATGCTGATTTGTTCAATAATCACAATTACCCTTTGTGACTCCATTTTACAGAGTGGGAAGCTGAGGCCCCAAGGAGTCACATGACTTGCCCAAGGCCACACACCTTGTCAGTGACTGCACCAAGGTTAGAATGTAGAACAGTCTGGAAGCTTAACCATCAGAGAGCTTAACTGCCTCTCCCTACTTTTCTTAATATTGTAAACATTTTCTGAAGAACTCAGGCTCATCACCTGGGGCGGGGGTTACCTTGGGCTCCTGCCTCCCCTTTCCCTTCCTAAAGTCATTTCCATCTCCTCCACTCTCCCATCCCTTTCCTGTCCCAGTCCTAAGGCTCAAGCTGCTGGCTGACACTGTGGCTCCTTTAGCCTTGTCCCCTCCCAGCAGATTCTCAGTACATCTTTGCTGCCTGCTTTGAGGAAGGCAAAGTTGCCCCAATCTGAGCATCCATTACTTAACCCTTAGTTCACCGTGGGGGCACACCAGGTTCAGCCCTATCCCTCCTAGCTGTGGGACCCTAAACAAGTTACCTAACCTCCTGTGGCAAGTTGAATGGTGCTACCCCTCCTGACACCCCTCCCCTCAAAAAACAAGCTATGCTTCTGTCCTAATCTCCAGAACCTGTAAATATGACCTTATTTTTAAAAGTGTCTGTAGAGATGTGATTAAGGATCTCAAGATGAGATCATTCTGGGTTGTGTGGGTAGGTCCTAAGTCTAAGACAAGTGTTCCTTTTTTTTTTTTTGCTGCTCTGAGCAGCATGTGGGTGGGATCTTAGTTCCCCACTAGGGATCAAACCCTTGCCCTCTACAGTAGAAGTGCTAAGTCTTAACCAGTGGACCACCGGGGAAGTCCCGGGAAGTGTTCCTGTAAGAGACACAGAGGACAAACCTACAGAGAAGGCCGTGTGAAGACAAAGGCAGAGAGTGATGCTGCCACGCGCTATGGAAGCCAGCAGCTGGAAGAGGCAAGGATGGATCCTCCTCTAGAGCCATCAGAGATAGAACACCTTGACTTCAAATTTCCAGCTTCCAAAACTGTCAGAGAATGTTTCTATTGTTTGAAGTCAAGTTTGTGGCAATTTGTTACAATAGCTACAGGAAGTTAATGTCCCTCCCTATTCCTCACTGTCCTTGATTTAGGGCGGAGATAATCATAGATCAGAGCTTCCCAGGGGGCTCAGATGGTAAAGAATCTGCCAGCTAATGCAGGAGACTTGAGTTCAATCTCTGGGTTGGGAAGATCCCCTGGAGAAGGAAATGGCAACCCACTCCGGTGTTCTTGCCTGGAGAATCCCATGGACAGAGGAGCCTGGCAGCTACAGTCCATGGACTCACAAAAAGTCGGACAAGACTTAGTGATAAACGACAAACCATAGGTCCAATTTATTGGGATGCTGTGCACAGATCTAACCCCGGCTTTAACACTTACCAGCTTGTCTGACCTTGGGCAAGTGATTTGACTTCTCTGAATCTCAGTTTCCTCTGTTGTAGAGTATAATAATACTTCTTAGGAAGCAGTAAGGCAGCAGTTCTCAAACTTTTCGCTCTCAGGGACTCTTAAGAACTGTTGAAGACCTTAAAGAGATCTTGTTAAACATGTTACATCTATTGATATCTACTGTAACTAGAAATTTAAGCTGTTTTTAAAAAACACTGACTAATTTAAAACAAACACATGACATGTTAGCATGAATTTTTTCAATAAAAATTAACTATGCTCCAAAACAAACAAGTACTGAGGACAGTGACATTGTTCCATAATTTTGCAAATCTCTTTAAAATCTAGCTCATTATCAGAGAGCTGGCCCCTAAGATCCGCATCTGCACATTCAGTCAATCATGATACGCTGATTTGTATTACCTATAGGAAGAACATGTAGCCTGTCATTGATGTATAGCTAGCAAAGGGACCTCAAAGAGACCCTTCGAGCGTTGAGGAACCCTGAGGCCACACTTTAAGAACTAGTAAGTTAGGAAATATTTATAAAGTACCTGGAATAATGCCTGACACATGGTAAACACTACTTTTAAACTAAATATAAAGCAAATGCTCAATAAACTTTAAACATTTTTAGAGTTTCCCTGGTGGCTCAGTGGTAAAGAATCCGTCTGCGAATGCAGGATACACAGGTTCAATCCCTGATCCGGGAAGATCCGACATGCTGCGGAGCAATGAAGCCCGTGTGCCACAACTACTGAGCCTGCGCTCTGGAGCCACAAGGCTGCAACCACTGAGCCCATGTACCACAAGTACCGAAGCCTGTGCACCCTCGAGCCTGTGCTTGACAAGAGAAGCACTGCAAAGAGAAGCCTGGGCACTGCAACTAGAGAAAAGCCCATGCAGCAACAAGCACTCGGCACAGTCAAAAATAAATACATAAAAATTATATATATATTTACATAAACTTTAAGCATTTTTAGTTTTAAATAATGTGTGTCAAGTTGGGGTGCACTTTATAGCTACAATGGCGTTCAGGTTTTTTTCTGACTTCAAGGAGCTCTGAAAGGGGAAGTAAGTGTAACCTTGGTCAAAACTCACTGTGCTAAGAGCAGTTTTATGGGAGTACGAGGTGGGATGCGAGGATGCAGAGGAGGGGGTGTGAAGGATGGGGTTGTGGCTTCCGGGAAGGCTCACCTGGGCGAGGAAGGGTGGTCTGATGGACTAGATTTAGCCAGGTCAAAAGGACAGGGGGTTTGTGACAAGAAAGCAGAAATTCAAACCCTGTTCTCACCGCCTCTGTGAAGTGGTGCAGGTGTCACAGGAGCCGCTAAAGGATGTGGCTGGCCGGCAAGCGGGGCAGCCCGGAGGCTTAGGGACCAGAGGACCCCTCGATCTTTCTGTCCCTCTCCTGGGCGCCTCTCCTGAAGCTCAGGGCCCGGCGCCGCCAGGTCAGCCCGGTGACCCGGTCGGCGGTGAGGTGAGCCGCGGGGTCCTCGACTCTTTCCCGGGATGGGCCGCATCCCGGAGTCCACCTCCTGATCCCTCCATTTCTCTCCAACGCAGAGTGCCCCCCCCCCCCCCGGCGCTGTGAGTGGTCCCAAGAGATCTGCGACCCGCAGCCCCACCGCCTCCGAACCCCACCACCCCGCAACTTCTCTGGGCTAATCTCGACCCCTCCGCGGCGGGATTGGGAGAGGAGGAGCTAGGACCGCGCCGGAGGCGGGGGTGGCGCCTCCGGACGCGTTGGGGGCGCCGGCTGGAGGCGGGGAAGGAAGGTCCCGCGGGTGGAGCGGCGGGGGCGGGGCGGGGGGCTGCAGAATCGGAGGGTGGGGGTGCGGTGCCCGCCGGGACCCCAGGGCGCCCTCGGGCGGCGGCAGCCGGGCGCGCCCCTCTCCAGGCCGGGATCGGGGCGGGGCGCGCGGCATCCCCGCGGGGGGAGCTGGTCAGCCGGCGTCGCCGCCGCCAAAGTTTCCCGGAGGAGCCGCGGTCGCCCTTCCTTCTCAGGCCCCGGGCGTGGGAGCGAGCCCTCGGGCGAGGATTGCTTGCGAGAGGGCAGCGGAACCCCCTCTCCAGCCAGACCTCGCGCCTCCATTGCGCCCAACTCGGATTCCCAACTTGGGAGGCGCCGCGGGCCTGCGCACGCGCGCGCCTTCCTCGCGCCGCCGCCGCCTCCTCCTCCTCCCCTCACTGGGGAGCAGGCTCGGGGCCGAGCCGGGCGCCGAGACCCGCACCCTGATCGCTAACCCCCTGCTCCGGCCCGCCGCCTCCGCCCATGCCGACGCCCGTCGCCTGCCGGCTGCGCCCTCGCCCGAGGGCCAGCTAAGCGCGGGCCGGCGGCGGCGGCGAAAGGTGGGCCCAGCCCCGGCGCTGCCCTCGACAGCGGCAAGTTTGGGAGTTGCACTAGTTTGCGGGGTGGGGGAGAGGCTGGGCGGGGGGGCCATGGAGGAGGACCGGGGGTCGGCGCTGGCGGCCGAGTCGGCGCTGGAGAAGAACGTGGCGGAGCTGACCGTCATGGACGTGTACGACATCGCGTCGCTCGTGGGCCACGAGTTCGAGCGGGTCATCGACCAGCACGGCTGCGAGGCCATCGCGCGCCTCATGCCCAAGGTCGTGCGTGTCCTGGAGATCCTGGAGGTGCTCGTCAGCCGCCACCACGTTGCTCCTGAACTGGACGAGCTGCGCCTCGAGCTGGACCGACTGCGACTGGAAAGGATGGACCGCATCGAGAAGGAGCGCAAGCACCAGAAGGTGGGCGGTAGCCTCAGTGTGCCCATCCGGGCAATGGGGCCGCTGGGACCTAAGGGGCCCTTCAGCACTGGGGTTCTGTAGGTGCACACGTATGTGTACACAGGGAATAGAGGAGAGAAGATCCTACTGGATGAGGAAAGGAGCGAGGCCCCTGGCCCTCTCTTACCCAGCCTGGGCACCAGGCATGTACCACCCGCAGAGATTAAGGGTAGTTGGTTGGAATCAGACCTGAGTTCCAACCCCACCTTTACCATTTAATAGCTGTGTGACCTTGAGTAAGTTATTTCGCCTCTCTGTGCTTCATTTCCTCAAATATCAAATGGCATAGGAATAAGACCCGCCTTATAAGAATTAAATGGAATAGTATCTAAAGTGCTTAGATAATATTATTCTTTTCCAGAAATGAAATAAGCGCCCCTACCTTTCATGCTACCCAGAAGATAGCATGTCACACCCAGAAGGTGTGACACAGGACTTCTTTCTTCATCCTACTCCAGACCTTTTCAGAGCCAAGGGGATGGGACCTCCAGCCACTGAGTTCATTGACCCTCAGTCTCTGGGCTCTTGATTGCCAATGACCCTCCAGAGTTCCTTCGAGTTTATTAACCTGGGTTGGTTTCCCCACCTTGACTTTACTCTGTGAGGTAGGGATAATTCCCTTCATTTTACAGATGAAGAAACTGAGGATCCGCGTGGAGGGATTTGTCCCAAGTTAGTGCTGAGACTCCCAGCCTCCATGGAGGTAATTCTAGTGTTTCTTCCCCACCCTTTTTGAATCGGAGGAAGATGATTTGGGGCACCTTTAAGGCTAAGCCTCTGCTTGCGACCAAGAATCCTGAGCCCATGAATCAGGGACTCCTCACAGTCCACATGAGGTGGCTGGGGAAACGGAAGTGGGAGACGTGTGGTTTCCTGTCCCAACCTCAGCCCAGGGAAGCTCCTGTCAGACCCTTGAGACTGAGAATCAGAGGAAATGCGTCTCCTTGGAGGATCAGGGTGTCTGAGCAGATTCTGACTTGCTGTGTGCCCTCAGGAAAATACCCTTGGCCTCTCTGAAACTCTCAGGCCAGCCATCAACCCACTGTTTACTTTGAGGTCTATGTCTTTTCAAGGAAGAGAGCCTGGGCTGTGTTCGCCGTCTTAACCTTAAGGGCGGATCCCTGAGTGATTCAAAGCACTCAGGTTTTGGAGGTTTGATTGTGTTTATTATCAGACACCACAGGTAGGGAATTCAAGCTCCCAAGCCTTAGACAGTTGTTTCCAAGATCTCACAGGGAGCTTGAAAATGTCCCCTGCCCTGTAATTAAAGTCAAGATTCCCAGGAGCAGGGCCTTTGGAGTTAGATAGCCTGGTTTAAAGCGCTGTCACTCATGGGCTGTGTGACCCTGGTCTCTGTGCCTCAGCTTCTGGGCTATACAATAGGGAAATATTAATAATAGGGAATATTAATAATAGGCTATACAATAGGGAAATATATTAATAGTACCCATCTCATAGGGTTACAGTGCTCAGGACAAAACCTGGCCCATTTTGAGGGCTTTGCCAAGTGTTGACTTTTGGTTTGGGGTCAGGAGGGGCTTTCACTGAGTTCTCTTAGGCTGATGTTGGAATTGTCCCCCCCACCTAGGTACCCGGACTCCTACCCCTTCCATCTCTCCCAAAGGGTCGAGGAAGGAAGGCACCTTGAGCTGCTCACCTACAAACTGTTTCTTACTGACAATGACTAAGGGCCTTAGCCCAAGCCACACAAGCCCTGGCACCCGTGTCCCCATCTTTGGCATTTTAAGTTCTGCTGCAGCTGGGAGCCATCGGAGGCCACTAGGCCTGGAGTCAGGTGGAATTCCCAGCCAGCTGCACTTGTCACTTCTGGAGTGCTATTGGCCAAGAAGTAAACACCAGTGTGTTCAGGTCCAGGGCTCGTTTGTAAACACTGAGGATGATCTTTTATAATTCAGAGGACAAAGTCCTTTTTTTCCCATCCCAGTTCCAGTCCCCTTTACTTCATATTCTTGAAATCAAAAGAGACTCCTCTTATTCCCTCCTCCACCCCACCCCCACCCCCTCATAAGCTTCAAAGGATCTTTCAAGGTGTTATTTCCACAAAAATCTTCTTAGCATGTCCTTGATCTTATCTGTCTGTCTGTTCATTCCTGCCTCCCACCTTTTCTCCCTCCCTCTCTTCTTTCCTTTCTTCCTTCTCTCTCTTTCAACTGGCTCCAGGGACTTCCCGGGCGATCCAGTGGTTAAGAATCCAAGCTCCCAATGCAGGGTACACCGGTTTGATTCCTGCTTGGGAAATAAGATCCTGCATCCTGTATGGCGCAGTCAAAAAAGCAAAAACAAAGCAAATATGGCTCCAGTAAAGCCTGCTCACTCTCTTCTATTCCTCCTGCCAAAAGACCCCCAGACTCAGTTCTGTTTATCACTCAGACCTAGGCCACAGTCTTATCAGGTACTACCTGGTTGCTCAGTCTACAACCCTGTTGACCGACCACAGCTTGCACAGTGCCTTCCCAGGTGACATGGGTGATGCAAAGGAAAGGAAGACCAAGTCCTCATCTCAGGCAGCGAGTGCATAACAGGGAAGACGGGAAAAACACAGAAAGAGACTTTAGAAAGCAGTGGCAGATGCATTTCATGTAAATAGCGTATGTTATTAATTTATTCATTCAACAGATATATTTATTGAGTACCTACAAAGTGCCAGGCACTGTTCCGGGTCACAGCGGTGACCACAAGAGATGAGGTCTTTGTCTCCAAGGGCTTGACTTTCTAGTGCAGTGCTGTCCCATAGAAATAAATGTGGTGTGTCACATTGATACAAAGACATTGGTAAGGTTAACATTTTTTTTTTTTAACCTCACCTGTGGCTTGCGGATTCTTAACTCCCTGACCAGGGATTGAATCTGGGCCCAGAACAATGAAAACACCTAGTCCTAACCACTGGACACCCAGGAAATTCCTCAGATGAAGTTAATTTTAATAACATACCAAACCCAGGCTTTCCAAAATGTTATTTCAGCATGTAGTCAATGTAAAGGTACTTTTTATTAAGATGTGATTGACAGATAACACTGTTTAAGGTGTACAGCATTATGCTTTGATATATGTGTATGTTGTAAAATGATTACCACCTAAGATCAGTTAACATCCATCACCACACAGTTACCAAAATATTATTAATAAGGTATTCTGCATTCTTTTTTTCCTACTATGTCTTTGAAATTCAGTGAGTGTTTAGCCCTCACTGCATGTTTCAGTTGAGACCAGCTGCATTCCAAGTGCTCAGTAGACACATGACTAATGTCTACTCTGATGGAATGATATGATTCTAGCATGAGGAGATAGGTTTTTTTTTTTTTTTACAGTTTAAAAAATTTCAGCTTATCATAAGTGCCATGAAGAAGATAAAATGGGGAAATATAAAAGAGACTGGTCAGCACTGGGGTCTCATAGATGGAGCAGTCAGGAATGCTTTCCCTGAGAAGGTGCCATCTGAGCTGAGATCCAAATGAAGGGTAGGTGCCAGCCATAGGGGGATCTGGAGGGGGGCATTCTAGGCAGGAAGTACAGCAAGTGCAAAGGGCCTAAGGTAGAAGGTTGGTGTGTGCATGGACTACAAAGAAGGCTGGTATGACAAGAACAGAGCAAGTGAGGAAGAGGTCAGGGAGATGTTTTTTGGTGGCTAAGTTGTGTCCAACTCTTTGCAACCCCATGGACTGTAGCAGCCAGGCTCCTCTTTCCTTGGGATTTCCCAGGCAAGAATACTGGAGTGGGTTGCCATTTCCTTCCCCAGGGGATCTTCCCGACCCAGGGATTGAGCCCGCATCTCTTGACCCTCCTGCATTGGCAGGCAAGTTCTTTACCCCTGAGCCAACTGGGAATCCCTCAGGGAGGTTCAGGGATCTGATAACTCTGGGCCTCCTGGGCCGGCATAAGGAGTTTGAAAACAGTGCTGAGAAAAGGTGAAGGAGATGATCAGTCAAGGGCTGCTTCCTGGAAAAGCCTTTTTAGCTGGTGTGGAGGCAAGATAAAATTGTCCTTGATCAGCTCAGGGGCAAGAACCAGCTCCCCCAGCATCAAGTTCAGTTCACTGAGAGAAGAATAAAAAAAAGAACTGAGGGATAATAGATGAACTTTATTCATCTATTGCTGCTGTAGCTAATTAACACAGCCTTACTGACTCAAAACACAAATTTATTATCATGTTGGATAATATGATATTATGAATAATATCAATATGAAGAATACTGGATAAAATTCTGGAGGTCAAAAGTCAGAAAGGAGTCTCACTTGGGTTAAAAACAGGTGTCAGGAAATTCATTCCTTCTGGTAACTTTAGGGGAGAATCCATCTCCTGGCCTTTTCCAGCTCCTGGGGGCCACCTGCATTGCTTGGCTTGTGGCCCCTTCCTCCATCTTCAGAGTCAGTAGTGTGGCATCATCAAATCTCTGACTGTGATCTCTGCTTCTGTCACCACATTGTATCCGGGATCTTAGTTTTCTGACCAGGGACTGAACCCGAGTCCCCTGCAGTGGGATCGTGGAGTCTTAACCCCTGGATCACTAGGGAAGTTCCCCCATCATCTCTGATTCTGCCCTTCCTGTCTTCCTCTTTCAAGTTTAAGGGCCCTTGTGATTACATTGGGCCCACCTGTGATAACCCAGGAGCATCTCCCCATCTCAGGGCCCTTTTGCCTCACAGGGTCACATATTCTCAGGTTCCAGGGGGATTAGGCTGTGGACATCTCTGGGGGCCATTGTTCTGCCCCCTCCAGCCAGTTACACTTGACTGATAGGCTGATAGCCCTGGGGTCCTCTGTGCACCCAGCCTTTGTCAGGTGGGAGCAGAGAGGCCTGGGGCAGAAAGAGCCTGACTCTACTTCCAGTCCATACCTGCATGTGGGAAGGTCCTATGGCCACTCCATCTTTCAATCACTGCTTCTGCCCTTTGGCCCCACCCTTCACCTCCCCCTGGTGACCTTGAACCAGCTGTGTGAATACTTAAGTCATTACCTCTCATTTCCCCAGTTCAGCAGGCTTCCTGATGAAGGTGATGGGATTTAGGAACTCATTTAAAAGATGAACGGAGGCGATGCTGACATCTGGCCACCTGGGCCGGCTTGGGATGGGTTGTGGGAGGACCAGAAATCAGCAGACATATGTTTAGCACTTTCTGAGTACTGGGCACAATTCCAAATATCTACATATATTAACCATTTAATCCTCATGACAACCTGCAGGGTAGATACTACACTATCTTCCTCATTTCCAAGGCATCCAAAGATTGAATAACTTGTCCAAGATCAACTAGTAAGTGGCAGAAATTAAATTCATGCTCAGGTCAACAGGCTCTGGTATCCATGCTTTGAGCAAGCATTCTATACAGTTAATGGTTTTACAAAATACCTGGTTTTTTGGCAACAGCTTTATTGAATATAATCCACATACCATACAGTTCACCCATTCAGAGCATACAGTTCAATGTTTTTTTAGTTTTTTTCCAGACTTGTGCTACAGTCAGTTTTAGAACATTTTCATTACTCCAGAAAGAAAACCCAGGCCCATTAACAGTCGTTCCTTATACCCCACCAACCCTTCTGCCCCTGCCAAGCTGCCAATATACTTTCTGTATCTGTGGATTTTGTATGTTCATCTGTATCGTGGACATTTTCCATCAACGGAGCTACACACTGAGTGACCATTTGCATCTGGCTGCTTTCGCTCAGCATTGTATTTTCAGGGTTCATCAAAGCTGTAGCTTGTGTCAATGCTTCATTCCTTTTGTCTGAATTACATTTCGTTATGTGGATACACCACGTTTTATGTACCTGCTCATCAATTGATGGACGTTTGAGTTGTTTCTGCCTTTCGGTAATTATGAATAATGCTGCTGTGAAGGTTCATGTACATGTTTTTGTGTGGACACATGTTTTCATTTCTCAGACCCTACAAGTGGAATGGATGGGTCATATGGTAACTATGTTTAACTTATTGAGGAACTGCCAGACTGTTTTCCACAGTGGTTGCACCATTTTACATTCTTACCAGTGATGCAGGAGGGTTCCAGTTTCTTCACATCCTTGCCAACACTTATTATTGTCTATTTCTCTGATTACAGCATTTCTCTGATTATAGCCATCCACAAAATAATTTAATAGGTGTCTTGTTTATCCTCACATTCAATCAGTGAGCCTTTATTCTTTTTTTTTACTGAAACATAGTTGACACACAATATCATATATTAGTCTCAAGTGTGCAGTGTAGTGATTTGACATTTACATACATTATGAAATGATCTCCATGATAAGTCTAGTAACCATCTGTCCCCATGCAAAGTTATTACAATACTACTTACTGTATTCCTTATGCTATATATTACATCCCTGTGGCTTATTTATTTTGTAACTGGAGGTTTGTACCTCTTAACCCCTTTAATGTATTTTACTCCCTCTCCAGCCCCTCCCTTCTGGCAACCACCTGTTTGTTCTCTGTATCTATGTTGTTTTGTAGATTCTGCAGATAACTGCGATCATATGGTATTTGTCTTTCTCTGTCTAACTTGTTCCACTTAGCATCATACCCTCTAGGTCCATCCATGTCACAGATGGCAAGATTTCATTCTTTCTTACAGCTCAGTAATATTCTATTGTGTAAATATATATCATCTTCTTTATCCACTCATCTGTCAGTGGACACTCAGGTTGCTTCCAGATCTTAACAATTGTAAATAATATTACTGTAAACATAAGGGTGCATGTATCTTTAAACATTAGTGTTTTTGTTTTCTTCACTGTGAGCCTTGATATTAGGGCTCCCCAGCTAAGGGAAGCTGAGGCTCAGAGTTCTAAAGTTAGTTGCTCAAGGCTACTTGAAGAGGTGCTTGTTTCAGGTATACTAGGAGCTTCAGGGCCAGGGAGCATCCCTGGGATCTTTGCAGCCCTCTCTGCCTCTTGGAAAGAGGTGTGTCCTGCTGGGATGGAAAGTCTGCCCGAGGATCAGGGATGTGACCTCCCCAGAGGGCAGGTACGTTCAGGCCCCTGTAACCTGGGGCTACCCCTGCATCCTCCGTCTCCTGTCTGGGTTGTTAAAAGGTGCAGATCCAGTGCCATGGTTGTCTTCAGGGCAGTTCTAACCTGCATGGGTCCTAACAGTGTAAGTGCAGGCTTTGCCCAGAGGAAGGGCACCTTCTAGTTTTTGTGAAGTTGCCTTGTGGGCTAGTGATACCTGAACTGCTCACCTGCTGATGCCTGGTTCTTGTGGAGAAGGGAACAACCCCAAAGCTCCAGCATCTCTGAGCTGCTCCTGAGGGTCGGGGATGGGGTGGGTGAGGCTGTTGCCCTGGGCAGGCAATGAGTGACCCCATGCTGGCCCCTCGCCCTTGCAGGAGCTGGAGCTGGTGGAGGACGTGTGGCGAGGGGAAGCACAAGACCTCCTTTCTCAGATCGCTCAGCTGCAAGAGGAGAACAAGCAGCTCATGACCAACCTCTCCCACAAGGATGTCAGCTTCTCCGAGGAGGAGTTCCAGAAACATGAAGGTAAGAGGAGGGGCTGGCATAGGAGGTGAGGGGAAAGGCTCTTCCCATCGTCATCACCAGCATCACCAGTGACATTCCTGAGGATGGTCCCCAAGCACCGTGTCTCACATCACGTGCATTTACACCATCACATGCCAGGCATCTGTGCTCAGTCGTGTGTGCTCAGTCGTGTCCGACTCTTTGTGACTCTACGGACTATAGCCCACCAGGCTTCTCTGTCCATGGGATTTCCCAGGCAAGAATACTGGAGTGGGTGGCCATTTTCTCCTTCAGGGGATCTTGCCAGACCAGGGAACAATCCTGTGTCTCCTGCATTGTCAAGCGGGTTATTTACCACTGTGCTGCTGGGGAAGCCATTCCTACCATCACTTTGCCCGAGAGAAATTGTGTAGCCTGGTTTACAGGTGATGAAACTGAGAGGTTCATTTAATAAATTGTTAGAGGCTCCTTACTTCCAGACTCTTTTCTAGGCACTGGGGATACACCTTGGACAAGACAAAGCCCTAGCCATCGTGAAGCTTATGTTCTAGTGCAGAAGAGATAGATGATAAATACGTAAACAGATAACACAGTCCTGATTCTGACCCAGGTTGTGGAAGAACTGAAAAGGAAGGTGGGTGGAATATGATAGAGTTGACTTGGTTGGGAGCTTTTTTAGATACAGTGATCAAGGAGGGCCTCTGATGAGGTGACATCTGAGCCCTAGTTAAGTCATGGAGCGAACCATGCAAATATCTTGGGGGGAAAGCAGGTACAAAGGCCCTGGGGCATGACTGTTTATGGAAAGCCAAGGAGACCAGCATCACAGAAGATGATCAAGGCCAAAGGTGGTTAAAGATGAAGTCAGAGGGGCCAGCAGGGATCAGATCGCATAGGCCCTTAGAGACCTAGGTTTGGATTTTATTCTGAGTGTACTAGGAAGAGATTCGAGGTACATGTCATGGGCACATGTTTAACAATGAGCAAGCCAGGATGGCCGCCCAGATCTTAATGGTGCTGGAGCATCTCAGCTGTCATTCATCCTACCAACAGTTATCTAGAACCTTCACTCCAGGCCCTCTGCTGGTGCTGGGGAAGCAAAGACAGAAAGATTTGGTCTGGTCCCTGATGAGCTGCTTCAGCTTAGGGCACTTGAGATCTTTAGTTATAGCAGGCAAACTCTTAGTTGTAGCATGTCTAATCTAGTCCCCTGAAAAGGGATCAAACCTGGGCTCCCTGCATTAGTAGCTTGAAGTCTTAGCCACTGGACCACCAGGGAAGTCCTAGACCCATCTCTGTAGTCTGAGTAAACTCCTTGGGTCCCAATACAAACCCCTCCTCATGTTTGTTATGAAAGGGAATGGACTTCCAGGGAGGAGACCTGAAGTTCAGAGTTTACAACTCTTGTGAGTATAAAGTACCACACTGTATAAGGACTGTAGGGACCAAGGAGAAAGGAAATGTCTGATCCAGGTGCTGCCATCCTCTTTTCCTTGGGTTTCCTTTGTTGATCATGAATGGTGCAGTGAAAACAAAAGTCTTAGCAGTGATAAACATTGGTGCCCAAAGCATGCTAACCAGGGGTCATTCCTAACCTGATATTTACCTGCTGAGTGACCTTGCTCAAGTCATTTGACCTTGGTGTGCCTAAGTGCCCCATGTGAAAATGGGGCAGATAACCCTGTCTCTGTCATCAGATTGTTATGAGGATTAAATGAATTAATACATGTAAACTGCTTAAAATAGTACCTGGTGTCCACACTCTGAAAGTTTTTAACTATTGTTACTATGAGCTACTGTTATCCAATCTCCTTTTTGAAAAAGAAGAGGAAAACAGGCTGAGGGGGTGCATCCTTCCTCTTCATGGCTTAATAATATCCCCTTGTCTGTTTGGACCATGTTTTGTTTTTATCCATGCCTCCACTGACAGACGCCGGGTTGTTTCCAACTTTCGGCTGTTGTAAAGAGCACTGCTGTGAAGGTGCTGGTATGTGTTTTATGTGGACATAACGTTTTTGGTGTTTTTTGTTTTCTTTTAAACAAATTGTGGCTGTCCTGCGTCTTTGCTGCCATACTCGGGCTTCTGTAGCTGGGGCATTTGGGATCTTAGTTGCCCCACCAGGGATGGAACCAAGGTCCTCTGCATTGGGAGCATGGAGTCTTATCCACCGGACCACCAGGGAAGTCCCTGTTTTCGGTGCTTCGAGAGGTATATACCTCGAAGTGGAATTGCTGCAGCCTGTGGTAACTGTTGAACTTCATGAGGCACCCTTAGCCATCTTTTGGTTTGTGACATTTCTGGAGGTCACCCAGCAGGCTCCAGGGGTGATGTGGGAACTCCCCTGCCCGCCCCAGTGATGCCCTGGAGGCCTCGGGTCTGCCAGGTGTGGGTCCCAACACCCGGAGCTGCTTTCTCGGGGCCCGTTGCATCTGTGTGTACGCGGCACCCTCCGTGTGGGAGGGCCGTGCCTCGGCTCTCTGCATCCCTGCTGGGCTCTTCATCAGACAGCCCACACAGGTGCCATCTGAGACGCACTTAATTGGCATCTCGCGTGGGTCCGGCTCCCAGGGCTGAGCTCAGGGAGGCTTGGGTGTTCTGCGCGGCTGCAGCCCCCACCCAAGTGGAGAAACTGGGCAGATGCCAGGCATGCCTCTCACGGTTATTTTTATTTTGCACGGGAAGCCGTGGGAACGCAACAGGGACAAAAGCATTGCTTCCACCTGGAAGAGGAACAGACATAGGACAGAGGGGTACTGGGGAGAGGTGCCCCCATGAAGTTGGACTATGTGTCCAGCACCACTTGGGGCAAACTAGAGATATAGGGAATGAGGGGGGTGGGGTGCCTGCTTAGAAGAGCCGGCCCTGGGACTTGCCTGGTGGTGCAGTGGTTGAGACTCTGGCTTCCATGGCTGGGGGCACGGGTTCGAGGCCTAGCTGCGGAACAAAGATCCCACATGCCACGCAGGGCAGCCAAAAAATAAGTTAAAAAAAAAATCTATGAAAAGGAAAAAAAGAGGGCTTCCCTAGCAACTCTGTGACAAAGAGTCCACCTACCAATTTAGGAGACACAGGTTCCATCCCTGATCCAGGAAGATCCCACATGCTCTGGAGCAGCTAAGCCACAACTGCTGAGCCTGTGCTTTAGAGCCTGGGAGCTGTGACTGCTGAGCTCGTGGCCGGCGACGACCGAAGCCTGTGCTCTGCAACAAGAGAAGCCTCCGCAGTGAGAAGCCCAAGCGCCACAGCTGGACAGGAGCCCCTGCTCACTGCAACTCGAGAAAAACCCACACAGCCGGAAGACCCAGCACAGCCAAAAATAAATAAATGAAATCATTAAAACAGAAAAACAAAACAAAAATAAGAGCTAACCCTGCCTGGAACAGTGCTGCTTTCCCAGCCACTGATACTGGGCGCTGGGCTCAGAGCGCCCACCAGTCTCTTGTCTCCACCTCCCCAAAAATCTCCAGATGAAAAAGCACTTCGCTGCCTCTTGTGTTTGGAAACGGTCCTGTCAGCACTTTGAAACTACTAGTTAGCACATGCCGAGATGAATTACAGATATGGAAGCGATGGGACTGGGGGGTGGGGGTACAAAAATATGCCCAGGCCTCTGGAGAAAAACTCCTGGGCTCTGGACAAACAACTCTTGTCACTAGGAGTGGCTGAAGACTGGCTACTTAGCCATTTTCTGAAGGGAAGCTGAGAACAGCACTGTTCAAAAAAAATATATATAAGGCAATATTTTGGTTACTCTTTCAATTGTGAACATCTTTTACCTTTTACCAAAAAATGTAGGCAAGTCACAGATATGATTATAATTTTTCTAGGGGTGGCATTTAAAAAAGTAAAAAGGTAAAAGTAATTTCATTAATAGTTTTATTTAAACCAATAAGTCCAAGGTATCATCCTTCAGCATGTAATCGATTTAAAAAGTCATCAGTAGAGGAATTACGAGGTGGTCCAGTGCTTAGGACTCCATGCTTTCACTGCCAAAGGTCTGGGTTCAGTACTAGTCAGGGAACCAAGATCCTGCAAACTGCATGATGCAGCCAAATCAATAAATGATTATCCATGGGATATTTTGCATATTTTTTTTCACATTAAGTCTTTGAAATTTTGTAGCTTATTTATTTATATATAATGTTATACATATATTATGTTGTTGATGTTTAGTTGCTAAATCGTGTCCTACTCTTTGTGACCCCATGGACTGTAGCCCACCCGGCTCCTCTGTCCAAGGGATTTTCCAGGCAAGAGTACTGGAGTGGGTTGCCATCTCCAGTATTATATATATGTTTTATTTTTATTTATTTGTTTTTGACTGCGCTGGGTCTTCAGTGCTGTGCTAGGGCTTTCTCTAGTTGCTCTGAATGGGGGCTACTCTTGTTGCGGAGCACAGGCTCTAGGAGTGCCGGCTCAGTAGTTGTGGCTTGCAGGCCCTAGAGCTTGGGCTCAGTAAGTAGTTGTGGCATGCGGGCTTAGTCACTCCATGGCAGGTGGGATCTTCCCAGACCAGGGATCGTACCTGTGTCCCCTGCATTGCCAGATGGATTCTTATCCACTGCACCACCAGGAAAGTCTTATATATGTTTTGTTGTAGTAATATGCACATAATATTTATCATCTTAACCATCTAACCCAGTATACAATTCAGCTGGGTCTAGTACATTCACATTGTGCAGCCGAACTCCAGAACTCGTCTCATCTTGCAGATCTAAAACTCTGTCCCGTTAATTGATAACTCTCCATTCCTCCCTCCCCCAGCCCCTGGCAACTGGCATTCTGCTTTCTGTCTCTATAATTTTGAGTACTGCAGATATCTCACAGAAGTGGAATCATGCGATATCTGTCTTTTTGTGACTGGTTTACTTCACCGAGCATAAATGTCCTTGACTTTCATCCATGTTGTATGTGTCAGAATTTCCTTCCTTTTTAAGGCAGAATAATATCCCATAGATAGACCACACTTTGTTGATCCAGCCATCCGTTGATGGCTGATGTGTATTTTATATACAGCCCTTTGAGGGGTGATAAAGTGGTGGCAAGAGTGTGGACCCTGGAGCTAGGCTACCTGAGTTTCACTCCTGGTTGTCGTTCAGTTGATCAGTCGTGTCTGGCTCTTTGCGGCCCCATGGACTGCAGCACACCAGGCTCCTGTGTCCTCCACTGTCCCCCAGAGTTTGTTCAAATTCATGTTCATTAAGTCAGCGATGCTATCTAACCATCTCATCCTCTGCGACCCCCTTCTCCTTTTGCTTTCAATCTTTCCCAGCATCAGTCTTTTTCCAACGAGTCAGACCTTCGCATCAGGTGACCAAAGTATTGGAGCTTCATCTTCAACATCAGTCCTTCCAATGAATGTTCAGGGTTGTTTTCCTTTAGGATTGACTGGTTTGATCTCCTTGCAGTCCAAGGGACTCTCAAGAGTCTTCTCCAGCACCACAATTTGAAAGCATCACTTCTTCGGCGCTCAGCCTTCTTTATGGTCCAACTCTCACATCCATACATGACTACTAGAAAAACCATAGCATTGACTAGACGGACCTTTGTTGGCAAAGTGATGTCTCTGCTTTTTAATACGCTGTCTAGACTCCTGAACAGTGCCTGAATCCTGAATCCTGGTAGTGCTGCTCATCAGCTGTGTGACCTTGTGTAAGTTCACTAGCTACTATGCACCGCAGTTTCAACTGTACAGTGGGGACAGCAGGATTCCTACCTTGTAAAGTATTCTGAGGATAGAATGAGCTAAGCTCTGTTTATATCAGCATCTTCTATAAGCAGACCTGAGACGAGGATGTTCCTCTGCAGGTGATTTATTAAGGAAGTGCCCCCTAGAAAAGACTCTTGGGGGGAGTGGAGGGATCAGGACAGGGAAAGGAGGAAGCCAAATAAAGTCCGTGCAGGGCAGCAAGCTCTGGAGTGTAAGTTACACCTAAGAGTCTCCCTGCCCTTGGGCACAAGGGTGCACTTTCTTTTTTAAAATATTTTTATTTACTTATTTATTTGGGTGCACTGGGTCTTAGTTTCACATTGGGAAACTTTGGGATCACATTTGGGATCTTTGATCTTCATTGCAGCATGCACGATCTTTAGTTGCGGCATGTAGGGTCTAGTTCCTTGACCAGGGATCAAACCCAGGCCCCCTGCATTGGAAATATGGAGTCTTAGCCACTGGAGAACCAGGGAAGTCCCCTGAATGTCTTGTTAATTTATCTCCCAGAGTCTTGAATTGCTGGGTGACTTAAATAATTGCTCAGATGGTAAAGAATCCTTTACCAAGGCAGGAGGCACAGGAGACACAGGTTGGATCCCTGGGTCGGGAAGATCCCCTGGAGAAGGAAATGACAACCCACTCCAGTATTCTTGCCTGGGAAATCCCATGGCCAGAGCAGTCTGGCAGGCTACAGTCCACGGGGTCACAAAAAGTTGGACACGACTGAGGGAGTAACAACACAACTCCCAGCTTTTACCTATGTCTGTGAATCTCTTCAAAACACTTAACCTTTTAGTTTTTCAAACCACTTCTCCAGCACTCTTAGACTCTGTCTTAGCAGAGCATTTGGAGCAGGGAGAACTGGTATTTCTATTTTATACATAAAATGACACTTGAAGACACTCACTCTGTGCCAGGCCTGTTGTGAGTACTTCACATAGATTAACAGATGCAGCCTCACAAGAGCCCCCCACATGGGGCAACCACATGACCCCCATTTGCAAGTCAGAAAACAGGCACCAGGTCAGCTGCGAATGAGTCCAATTAACCTAGCCCCAGACTCCCAACCCTTGACCATTTGTTCTCTGACTGTTCCATCCTACAGCCACCAACACCCATGAAAGTGATGGATGGTGAGTCCCCTGGTGGCTAGTGGTTAGGATTCTGGACCTTCACTGCCATGGCCCGGGTTCAATCCCCAGCCTGGGAACTGAGATCCTGCAAGCCATGAGGTGTGGCCAAAAAAAAAAAAATCCTTTCTTTGGGAATTCCCTGGTGGTCCAGTGGTTAGGACGGGACGCTTTCACTCTGGTGGCCTAGGTTCAGTCCCTGGTTGGGGAACTCAGATGCAGGTGGGTCCCAAATACAGATTTCCTGTCTCTGGATCTCGTGCTCCCCTGCCCCCATCCCACTTAAGTTCTACTCATCTGATTTCTCCAGAGTGGAATGTGCCCTGCCAAGGATTAAATTGATTGACCTAAGCCCGTGATACTCCTGCCCCAGGGCTTTGCAGGATGCGGGCTGAGAGAGCAGACAGCAAACGTTTTTGTGGCTTTTTCACAGACTCTGCTTGCACCTGATTTCAGACCCCCTCCCCTACACAGACAGATACACACACTCACTCTGGCATTGTGTCTAAGGTGTGCTTTTTCTGGAAATGTTAGTCATGTCTTCTTGTTCCACTACCCCAGGCCCAGGTCCCGCCTCACAGCAGCTGCCCAGGAGTTTTGAGAGAGGGATACTCAGTACCCAGAATCCTCAGATGGCCCTGTGATTCCCCATCAGCAGTCTGGGGGCCTGACAGTCAGGACTCCAGCTAAAGAGTATCCTTTGAGGAGCAGGGAGTATCTGGAGAAATAACTGACTTTATCAATTTCAAATGGAGCTGGTAGTTGCTGTTTTTCACTGCTGTGTAGCATTCCGTTGCCTGTTACTCTCAAGGTTTATCTATTTATCCTACTATTGATGGACATTTTGGCAGTTTCCAGTTTGGGGCTATTACAAATAATGCTGCTATGAACATTTTTTAAATATTTATTTATTTAGCTTTGCCAGGTCTTTGTTGCAGCATGCAAAATTCTTTGTCGTGAAATGGAAATGTGAGATCTAGTTCCCTGACCAGGGATCCAATCCATGCCACCAGCATTGGGAGTGCAGAGTCTTAGCCACTGGACCACCAGGGAAATCCCTGCCGATGGTTTAAGCAGGGGAGGGAGGTAGACTCACCTTCTGGTCCCTCTCGCCCCTCTCTAGGCATGTCAGAGCGGGAGCGGCAGGTGATGAAGAAGCTGAAGGAGGTGGTGGACAAACAGCGAGATGAGATCCGTGCCAAGGATCGGGAGCTGGGGCTGAAGAATGAGGATGTTGAGGCGGTAAGTTCTGAGCCCTGCCTGCCATGTCCACTCCTGGCTGGTAGGTACCAGCAAGGGACTCCGTTCTCCCCTCCAAAAGCTCCCCTTCTCCCCCTCTGTCTCCTTCCATGGGCTCCGTGAAGTGGGGATCCTGCCATGGCTTGGTGGGCCCGGCCCTGAAACTGTTGCCATGGGTAGGACCCTCAGCCAAGTCTTCACTGGAACAGTAGGAGGGAACATGGCAATGCCCAGTGACCTGACTATTGACACATACTGAGGAAGCTCCAGGGCCTGGTCAGCCTTTTTCTAACCCTGAAGCTTCCTCCAGCTCACCCCTTTCATGCCCCAGCATTGTCCCGGCCCCTCCAAGAACCTATACTTTGTCTCTGCCTAAATTAGAAAAAGACACCCCTTTCTCAAAGCATGTTACTTCCATCTGTTGGGAAATTGTCATCATATACTAACAAGATACTTATCTTCCACCTGTCATAAAATTATCATAGTAAATATATAAATTGCCCATCTCTGGCATCAACAGAGTTGTAAGAATGTGAACAAATTTCAAGCAAGTCAAAGCGTCTGCAGTATGAATGGCATGCCTGTAGACAGTCTGCCCTTGTTTAGTGCACAGCATGAGCTACTGTATGTGGCAGCCTCATCCAGTGGGCTTTCTCTCTCTACAGCTGCAGCAGCAGCAGACTCGGCTGATGAAGATCAACCATGACCTCCGGCATCGTGTCACAGTGGTAGAGGCCCAAGGGAAGGCCCTGATTGAACAGAAGGTAGAACTGGAGGCAGATCTGCAAACCAAGGAGCAGGAGATGGGCAGCCTGCGGGCAGAACTTGGGAAGCTGCGAGAGAGGCTGCAAGGCGGACTCAACCAAAATGGAGAGGAGGAGCCTGTGGTGAGTGGCAAGCCGGCTTCTGTAGGCTGGCTCAAGGTGGGCCAGGCTGCCTTGCTTTTGCCATTACACTTGAGGGAAGTGGGAGGCCCTGAGAGAGCCAGCTGCTGGCTGGGAGACACACAGCTGGGCAGAGGTAGTGCTGGGCCTGGAACCTAGGACTCCCAGCATTCTAGTCCAGGTTATCCAGCTCGGTGGTGGTTACCAGGCATCTGCTGTTCATTCATTCATTCAAATAATTATTGACTATGTTGTAGGCATGGGGGATAAAATGGATTCCTGTCCACATGGGGCTTACAACCAGTATGAGAGACAGACATTAGACAGATAATCACATAACATACCATGTGTGCATGCATGCTCTGTCATTTCAGTTGTGTCCGACTTTTGCAACCCTATGGACTGTAGCCCACCAGGCTCTTCTGTCCGTGGGATTCTCCAGGCAAGAATACTGGAGTGGGTTGTCATGCCCTCCTCTAGGTGATCTTTCTGACCTAGGGATTAAACCTGCGCTTCCTGCCTCTCCTGCAATTGCAGGCAGGTTCTTTACCCACTGAGCCACCTGAGAAGCCCTAATATACTATATGACCCAGCAGTTCTACTTCTAGGTATATGTCCAAGAAAACTGAAGATATGTGTCCACCTAAAGACTTGTACACAGGGATTTCCCTGGTGGTCTGGTGGTTGGGAGAATGCCTTCCAATGCAGGAGACAATGCAGGATTCGATCCCTGGTCAAGGACTAAGGTTCCACATGCCACAGGGCAACTAAACCTGTGTGCTGCAATTACTGAGCCTGCATGCTCTGGAGCCCGTGTGCCACAACTAAAGAAGCCCATGTGCTGCATCTAAGACCCAATACAGCCAAAGAAATAAATATATTTTTAGGAAGACCTGTACACAAATGTTCATAGCAGCACTAGTCTCAACAGCCAAAAGGTGGAAACCACCTACATGTCCATCAGCTGGTGACTAGATAAACAAAATATGGTCTATCCACATCATGGAATAGTATTCACCCATAAAAAGGAATGGAATACTGAAACATGCTACAATTTGGATGGACCTCAAAAACATGCTAAGTGAAAGTAGTCAGACACAAAAGGCCACATATTGTATGAGTCATTTGTTTGAAATATCCAGAATAGGCAAATCCATAGAGAGAGAAAGAAGATTGATGGTTGCAGAGACTGGGAGAAGGGAAAATGAGGTGTGACTTCTAACAGGTACAGGGTTTCTTTTGAGGGTGATGGAAATGTTTCTGGAATTAGACAATGGTGATAGTTGCACAGCCTTGAATGCACTAATATGTACTCTGATTTTTATACTTCAAAAGAGTGGATTTTATGGTGTGTGAATTATATCCCAAAAAGCAAGCCAGCGATTCATGTTAAAGGAGAGCCATGGTGCGAGAGTGCCCCAACTGCATGGACTCTAGAGCCAGTCTGTTTTGGTTCACATCTAGCCTATTCCATACTACTGCCATGACTTTAGAAAATTATTTAGCCTCTTCACATCTCAGTTTTCTCATGTCTAAAATGGGGAAACTAGGGAGTTCCCTGGTGGCCTTGTGGTTAGGATTTGGCACTTTCATTGCAGTGGCCTGAGTTCAATTCCTGGTCGGGAAACTGAGATCTTACAAGTTGCATGGTTTGGCAAAAAAACAAACAAACAAAAAAAGGGAATAGTAATAAGAGTGCTTACTCCCAGATTGCTATTATGAGAATTAAATGAGTTAGTTCATTTAGAGTGTTAGCTGCTATTATTACCATGATAGTCTGAGGGAGTCATAAAGGCTTCCCCAAGGAGGTGATGGAAAGAATGAGAGTGAACTAGGTGAAGGGAGGTAGCATGTACAAGGGCCCTGTGTCAGGGGAAATTGCAGTGCAGTCAAGGAAGGATAAGAAAGCAAGGGTGAGGGACTTCCCTGGTGGTCAGTGGTTAGGACTCTGCCCTTCACATGTAGGGGGCAAGGGTTCAATCCCTGGTCAGGGAACTAAGAGCCCACATACCACATGGCACAGCCAAGAAAAAAAAGAAGGCCAGGATGGCTGGTGTGCAGGCTGACAGGGAGGGAGAAGGTCTGAATGAGGTCAGAGAAGTTGGCAGGGCCAGTGCTACAGAGTGGAGTTTGGCTTTTATCTGCAAGCACTGTGCTGGGTGCTGTGGAGGTTTGAGGAGCTTACAGCCCAGTGCAGGAGACAGTCTTGGACACCAGCAGCTACACTCAAGGTGGGAGGAGATTGTCTTAGCACTAAGAAGTTGTCTCAGTCTGGGTTCCCTTGAAGCAGAGCTTGAGAAGAGAAATGTGGGCAGGAGGTTAATTGAGGAGGTGATGGATCGCAAAGACCAGAGAACTGAGACAGGGAAGGAGGAAAAGGGAATTTGAGGGTGTGTCATTGAGGTCACCATGGGGAAGCTCAGACCCTCTGGGACCTCCTCCCAGAACAGTCTTTCTGGAGGAGAAAGTCTTAGAGCAATGATCTACAAATGCCTGTCCCCAATTACTAAGGGGAGGAGGGTTCCCAGGGGTGTTATCCCTCCAAATACTCCCAGGCAGAACTTGTGGAGCAGAAACTGGGGGAAAAATGGAAAGACAGGACAACACTACCCTGGTGGTCCAATGGCTAAGATTCCAAGCTTCCAATCCAGGGGGCCTGAGTTTGATGCCTGCTCAGGGAACTAGATCCTGCATGCCGCAACTAAGATCCCACATGTGGCAACTAACACCCAGGGCAGCCAAAAAAATAAATGAAGTAAATTTTTTTAAAAAAAAAATGGAAAGACATCCGGTGGGTGCTCGAGGTGGGGCCCTGTCCACATGAATGGAACCACACCACAGCTGCAGCGGAAATCCGGGTGGGCCCAGTATGTGACCCAGGGCACCAAAGGTATCTCCCACGTAGATGTGCCCCTGGGGTATTCCAGGAACATAGAGATGGGGCAGTTAATCCTGATGGGGGTGGCATGGAATTTCATAGACCAGCTGTCGCTTCAGCTGAATGTCAGTGATAATAATGCTAAGACTTTGATAGGCAGATGTAGAAGATGGATATACTGTTTCAGAAAAATGTAGTAAACTGTTAGAAAAAAGCTCAGAGCTTCCCATTTCTTCCAGCACATATTTTTTGACTTTCCGGTTTGCAGGCACTGTGCTGGTCTCTTGGGTTCCAGGTGAGGGAGGTAAGATAGAGGAGCTTTCCATCAGGCTGGCCCAAGTCCCAGCAGAGTCATTAAGTATCTTGTGAATTTGGGCCATATTCTCCTAGGTTCTTTGAAGGACAAGAACCTCTGAGATACAGATAGGGAGGAAGAGAGAGAAGTCTTGAAAGGGAAACTGGAGTAGAATCTTCTTTTGGCTACAGGTGACAAAAGCTTAACTTAAAATGGTTCAAGGATTTTTTTTTTAAAAAAGGAATTTGGGATTGTGTAACTAAAAGCTTTGAGTTAATGATGGCTTCAGGTATAGCTGGTTCCAGGTGCCCTAATGACGCTGGCAGGAATTTGTTTCAGTCCTTCTCTCTGTGTTGGTGTCATTCTCAGGCAGCCTCTTGCCATATAGTGGCCTCTAGTACTCAACCAGCTTTGCAACCCCAGTGGAAAGAAATTTCTTCTTTCTCAAATTCTCAGCAAAAGTCTCAGGAACCTTCTTGTTACCTCACCTGAATCAATGTGAGGTCTAGATTATACATGTTGTCCATATCTGAGCACGTAACTATCCATGATGGTGCCTGTCTAAGCCACATGCATGGAGAGTAGGAAAGAGGAGTTTCTCCAGAGGAAAACTGCCATGACTGAGCCCAGAGATGTGCAGGCCAGGCAGGACAACAGCTGTTGTCCGTGTCAGAGAGTCAGGGTTGAGAATGCCACACACAAAACTCTGAGCAGAGAAGGATGTGGATTCTTACATGGGGTTTCAGCAGGGGAGTGACAGATCAGCTCTGAGTTTATATGGAGGACAGTTGAACAAAGAGACGATGGCAGCCATGGCTGTCAGGAGCCCTTGGCAGTAATCCAGGCAAGAAAGGTGAGGACTGGACCAAGTCAATAGCCTGGGGACAGAGGGGAGGAGCCAGCAGGCGAAGCTTGGGGTGGTCACTCCCTCCCACCTCCCCTGAGTCCACCTTTCAGCCTCCTGAGCCCCACGAGAGCTCAGGTTCTGTCTCTGGCTGGTCCAAACCTGGGTCCTAAGGACATCACCCCTAGCCACAAGACTCTGAGCCCGGCTCCAGATCTCTTTCGGACAAGGACACTACACACCTCCTTGGCCTGGCTGCCGGTAGGTTTCAGTTTCCTTTCTGGCTCCATGGAGGTGGGGCAGAAACAGAGGCGTAAAATCCAGGAGCAGTTATGACTAACCCACTAAGCTTCTCTGCAGCATCTGTTCCTGAACTCAGGATGTCTTTTGGGGGCTTGACACCATCCCTTGGAGCTGAGTGGCATTCAGGATGCTTGTCACTCAAACAGGGAAGCTACAGGTAGTGGTGGCTTCATCACCTGCTGTTATGTGACTTGGGGCCTGTCCATCTCTTTGGTAATACGTTCTTATCTGACAAATGAGGGACATGAACTTGACTTGATTCAGTAGATCTAAAAGTTAGCATGGCTGGCACTAAAAGGAACAAAATGGGGTCATTTGTAGAGACATGGATGGATCTAGAATCTGTCATACAGAGTGAATTAAGTCAGAAAGAGAAAACAAATATCATATATTAACGCATATATATGGAATCTAGAAAAATGGACAGATGAACCTATCTCCAAGGCAAGAATAGAGACACAGAGGTGGAGCACAGACATGTCAACACAGGGTGGAGGAAGGGGAGGGTGGGACATATTGGGCGATTAGGACTGACATATATGCACTCCCATGTGTAAGACAGACAGCTAGTGGGAAGCTGCTGAATAGACAGGGAGCTCAGCTCGGTGCTCTGTGATGGCCTAGAGGGGTGGGACGGGGATGCTGGCAGAGCGGTCCGGGAGGGAGGGGTTGTATGTATACGT